TTGAACACTGAGAGAAGATTAGGGGGTATACCAAGAAAATCCAAAAGGAATTGAGGGAACTCGAGGTTTGTGCACTTCCCGTATTGTCCCCTCAGTGTTTTCCTAATTTTCTTTCGTGTTCTCTCAGCGTTCCATTAAATAGCATTCCCTTACTATTCCCTGAGAATTTCCTGAAAATTCCATGAAAATTCATCATTGTTCCTTTGCTATTCCACCATCCTTACCATATTCCTTTAGTATTCTCTTGCCCCTAGTGTTCTCTTAGCGCTCCCCAGTATTCCTTCGATATTCCTCAATATTCTTCTAGTATGGTCCCAATATTCACAATACTTCCCCAATATTCCCCAAGTATTCCCTTAGCGTTCTCTATTCCTCTAGCATTCTCTTTCCCCTAGTAGTTGCGCGCTCCGAGTATTCCCCCAGTATTGCTCGGTATTCCTTAGTATTTTCTTGGAATACCCTTAGCATTCCCCCAATATTCCCCCACTAACCCCAGTATTCCTTAGTATTTTCTTGGTTTATTTGTAGTATTCTTTCCCAGTATTCCCCTAGTATTCTTCTAGCATTTCCTCTTGTTATTCCCCTGGTATTCCTTCTTATCCGCTTGGTGTTTCCCTAGTTCTTTGCTACGCAGAAACTGGAGCGCAAATGCAGGATACTAGGGGAAGTACAAAGGGCAATGCTGGAGAATATCAGGGGAGTATTTGGAGAAGACTAGGGGCACCAAGAAAATACTAAGGAATATTAGACAATATTAGGGGAATACTAGGGGAATACAACTCTCGGGGTCACGGAATGCTAGAGAAATGCGGACTGCTAGGGGAATTGCAGGGGAATACAACTCCAAGGGTAAGAGAATTCTGGCTTCCTAGGGCAGCACTGCGGAACGGACAAGTTGTTTTCACATCCACATGTGAGACTGGAGCTAGGGAGCCCTTAACACACAAAGCAAAGGAAGCCAAGAGAAACGACAGAAAACCACAAAAACTCGAGAAAACCAAAAAACCAAAAAACCAAAAAAAACACAATACTCTTTGGAGACGACCCCGGGCGGAAGACTTCCCCGATATTGGGTTCTTTGTTTTTTGTGTATTCTTTGGTTTTCTCGAGTTTTTTTGGTTTTTTTAACCAGATGGCAGAAGACTTCCCATTTTTTGGTTTTCTCGAGTTGTTTGTTTTTTGACCAGATGGATGCTCAGATGCAGACACCAGATGCCTTGTACAAGCAAAAACGCGCGTTTCGCCCAGACGCCAGCACCGCCACATGCACGAAACCCTGGTATTCGCAGTGCTTTCTGAGCTTTGCAGCGCTAAAACTACATCCCAGGGAGCACCCCTTCTGTTTTTATTTTTTGGGGGGTTGCGCGCTTTCGAGCTTTCGCTGGACACCAGCAGCGCCATTGCGATGAATCTGGGCGCGTGTCTCTGGAGGGGCCCTGGTTGACTGCTGGCAAGGGAAGCAATTTGGCACTCAGATTGAGCGTTGCTCTGTGATACTTTAGCAAAACTGGGGGTTTGGGCGCTAGGGAAGAGCATTGGGAGAAAAGTTGTGGGTTTTTGGCCATGGCGGGAGGCTCGCTGTTTGAAACAACATGGATTTCGGTTGTCAGCCTCAAAAGATGGACCCATTTCGGTCTGCAGCCTGTTAGCTGGTGGTTTGGATTTGTTTATTGGTTTGAGTGCTGGGGTGGTTTCCCACTTACCACTCAGCAGGGCTTCAGATCGAAGTCCATTTAGTTCCCAAACCCCACACGCTGGTCCCCAGCCATCCCCTAGGCTTTTAAGTTTCAAGGGTTTAGTGGGGGTTTCCATTTAACCCACAAGTTCAACTTTTAGCAGGGGATCCGCAAACGGACAGCCCAGAAGTAAGGAGAAACCTGCCTAAAGGTTCATCACCTATTCCTTCATACCACTCACTTCCATGGCAATTTTTTTCGGGCCTTCCACTCAGCAAGTGAGACTACGTTCACACCTCGTTCTTCTCGTTCTCCGGGCTTAAGGGCTTATGGGTGGCGCCCAAGCCAGGCACCCGCTCACTTCGCCGCTGGTGCGCTTCCCGATCGCCGACGTGTGTTCCCGGACACAAATCCCCATATTAATAAATAGAGGTTTATTAATCCAGGGTCAACAATAAAATTACTAGAGCAATAAATCTGAAGGATGTAGTGAAACAAAGAAGCCCGTTTTCCACGTGCAAGGAAACATATGTGTGGGTGTGTGTGGAGCGGGAGCCTTGTTCCCAGGGCGTCGGACTTGGGCTGCTTCTCACAGTTTCTTCCCCCAAGGGTGTGATGTCAGTATCATTGCCGCGACTCCAAATTCGTTTCATGTTTCGGTTCCCAGTCAACTTGGGTGCAAAACCAAACCTGGCACGCAAGCCGTGCAGAGAACTTCTGGAACCTTCTTACGGGTTCTAGCCAAAAGGTTCTGGGAACCCTTCGGGGGGCGACGGGTGTCCCACTGGGTTTAGTGGGAATCAGACCACTTCTGGAGGGGAACACCCTATGAATACACTGGTTGGAAGAAAAATATGGGGTGAACATTAGGGGTGGGGGCAATTTGATGATGCCAGGTGCCCGAAGTGGCTCATACTGACAGGCGGGCAGCAGAAACGGTCGGGCCGTTTCTCGTTGGCCGTTTTAGCGGGGTGGGAGGTGTCGGGGCCATGAGTTTTGAGCGCATGTTTTGAGTTGTCTGGTGGGTAGCGTGCCAATCTGAGTCGGATTGGATGGTTGAGCCTCAGGGCCTGGTTCTCAAGCAAAAAGCAGACCCCTATGATTCCCGCATGTTCTATCTGCTTGTTCTGTTGGAGAATGGGACGCCCCCCACCAAGCGTTCCCTATTGACGGGGCTGCTTCTCCTCAGGAAGGCTTTTTTCTTGGATTGCTCAACCCTTCCCGCCAGATGGTTGTGGTCTCCCAGTGATGTCTCCCAGAGCGTACGGATTGGATTTGAACACCCCAGTCTGTACCAATTAATCAACCCCTGGCTGATTTCAGTAATACTGTAAGGTGTCCCCTTTTGGTGGGGGTTCATCACTTTTGGAGGGAATTTGCTAAGAATGGGACGGTTACTAGTTCGGGGTCAACATTAGCCAACAGTTTCACTGCATTCCCTTCAAATCTCTTTTGCCCGTTCCCCACATGGAAGTGACGTTTTTCACTTCATGTCGAATCTCTATGACCACACGTGCCATGGCTAAACGAGCCCTTTACTTGGGGTAAACAGGGATGGTCATTCACTTGGTACGGATCCTGAAGAACCATTACACAGTTTCCTGTGAAGTGACCCATGACCCAATCGGCCAAAGAAAACGGAGCTTTGACCATGGCACTCACTCCTGGAACTTGGTGGTTCCCAGGCATCCGGTCCCTTACACTCTTTTATCGGTTGGGTTTCTGTTGAAATTACCCACCAGTTCTTTGCCTGAATACGGTAATGCTGTGGATGGACAAAGTCATGCACCACTTTTTCCAAAAAAAAGAGCCAATGGTTGAAGCCAGTGTTTGCTACGGCATCCGCAGGAAAAAAAACCATTCCGGGTTTCTGAACGGTGCGAAGTGGATTACGTTTTTTCGTCCGTCCACAGGGGATTTCTTCCAGTTCCCAGCGCCCTGGTTCTCAGGCAAAAGACGCCCCAGGCTTTGGCTCCGACTCGGGCGCGAGTTACCTGTAAGTTGCTGGTAAGGGCCGAAGAAACACCGGCTCCTCTTTTGGTGCCAGGAATTGTCCTCTCTGGGTCCCAGTTCCCTTTTTTTCCAACATTTTTTTTGGGAAGGGTTCCCCTGTAAAGCCAATCAACCGGAAAAGGATGTCTTTTTTTCCCCTGGCCACTGGGCATTTGCGGGGTCTGCCTTTTTTTGATACTTTCTTTTTTGCTGGCTCCCAATGAAAGGATCCAAACACGGAAAGTGTTGTGACATTTGGGGGGTCCCCTAAAAAGTTTCACACGCATCTGCCTGTTCGGACATCCCGTTTGAGTGCAGCTTGGAAATCTGGAAAGCCAGGTCCTCCCTGGTTTCCGGGTGTGAACTCTGCATTTTGCGTCCGGGGGACCGGAGGGGCCGGATTGAATTCTCATAGTGTGGATGGACGAAACCTGTTTCGCACCACTTGGAAACCATGGTTGATAACTGGACGATTTAGGCTGGCTCAGGGGTTGCCTTTGAAGGGGAGAATGCACCCCAAAAAAACGGGCTTCGCTTTGCCAGTGAATTTGTAACAAACCTCTAAACGGGGACCCTCAAGAACGACAGCGAGATGCCCTTTTGGTGTTCTTGTCAGATACTTTTCCTCTGAGGTCAATCGGCCGCTGGTCAAGCTTGGGGGGCCTCAGGGTCCACACCTCTTGGGGATGGTTGACCCGGAGCATCTCAGCCGTGCAAAGTCCGACCATTCTGATGAGACCCGGTCTCATTTTTTTGGGTTGGTCAGCATGCTAACCTACCCTTTGAATCAGTGGTACTGCACAGCCATTGCGGTGGCCAGAGCCCTCGCGTTTATGGGTTGGAGTCTCGTTGCGGCGACGGAAGTTTGGACTTGTTGCCAGGGTGAGGACAAGGACGAGCCGATGTTGGTGCGCCGGAATTCCTTCAGCCAGGTGCGGAAAAGGGGCCTTTCGGGCTCGCCGGTGAAAAGCGCAGCTGCGTTGCAAGACTTGCTTCTCAGCACGTTCACTTGCAGCGGGATCGCTTGGGGGTAAAAGGGGCTCAGAAACGATGAAGCTTGCTTCAGTTTTAGGAATTTCTGTTTCATAGAAAATTGGAACCTGAAAGGTTTCAGGTTCCATGCTTAGTGTTGGGAAAATGGGAATGATTCTATGGCCAACCACCTACCATTACACATGTTCTCTTTCCCGAGCCGAGGGTATGCTGAACTGGGGCCCCTCAAAATCCGACTTTGGGAGGACTTCTTGGATCTTGCCGTGCGGGTTTTACATCATGGGGCCGGCGGTTGGGGGACTTTCGTGGGTCTTTGGGAGCGGTGCGTCAGCCATCGCGATGGAAGAGGTACTCGATCGGCCATCTTTGAACCCCTTCCAGTTTGATCCCACGCGCGTCTGGCCGAATGAGGGGAAACCGAGGCAAGCAAAGTGAGAGCCTGGACTATATGCTGAGCTGTCAGAACGGCCTGCCTGATACAAAGACCCCCCCCCGAAATGGGGTGGTTTTTCTTTGGCTTCCCTGTTAAACCACCCCGTTTAACGGGTTCCCTAAGACGGGCCCAGTGGTTCTTTTCGACCTTGGTCGCTTCACAGCCGGGGCCTCAGGTTTAGCTCAAGACTCTCAGAGGCTCTCCCGGCGCGACGCAATGAGTGTCCAGCTCCAGATCCTGAACCAGCCACTCGGTGAGCCCATCGCTTCGCGGATCCCGGATCCCTTCGATGCGACCTCCCGGACATTTTGTTTAAAGTTGTTTTACGCTAATGGGTTGACGTCAACGGGGCTGGTTGGCAGAATTGAGAAGCCATATTCCCCGCGAAGAATTGAGTGCATTGCAGTCAGGATATGCCCTCACTGTGTCCATTGACGCGGAGGCACTAAACAGATTTACTCCCATTTTTGGCGATCCCCTGCTTTTTTGCGGTGCCCCGCGTTGCTCAGTTCTTTTGTTAGGCAAGTTCCCCACAACAAATGGCAGAAAAAAAAACCAAAAAGACACGTTTCCCGTTTTTGTTCTTTACTTTTCGTTTTTTTTTTTTTTTTTTTTTTTCTGGTGCATGTGGTTCTCCGAAGTGACACCAAGGCACGCCTCCGCGGTTGTTCCGCGAGGGCTGCGTGCGGAGATTCCGGAGGAGTTGAAGGACCACGTGCAAGCGGAGGAGTACCAAGATCTCAAGGAGACTTCCAACTTCCAAGTCCGCGGACTTGGCGCCATTTTTTCCCAGAGAGCTGAAAGCTCTAGTATAGGGGTTCTAACTTTGGCGGTTTTTCGCTCTCTGGGGTCTATGCTGGGGTATTTGTTCAAGACCCAGTCACTTGGGATCGCCTTTTGTGGAATGCTTGGTTCAAACGCCGGGCGACTCACTGCCACTTTTCTTTTCCCCCGCCAGGTCAGTGTGAACGTCGACTACTTCCATTCGCTTAAGACGGGAAACATGAAGCGGGTCTACTCAACAAAGGGGCTTTCGCTTGCAAGAGCTTGTTCTTGCTGGTGCGATAGGCAGGGAATGGGGATTCCCTGAAAGGAGGCCACAAAGGATGGTTTATGGGGTTCATTCCCTCATTCCCTGCTGAGAACCAGCAAGTTCTTAGTGATTCTTCACATTCTGGTCGATCCCGAATGGAGGAAACCAACTCGGAACCGGATGGTCTTTGCCTGCTGGTGCTGAGGAGATGAGGGAATGAACCCAGTCCGCTTAAAGGAAACCGCCACTTGAATGGATGTTCATCGGGGATGTGTTTTTTCCCCATTCCCTATCGAAGTCATTGGCTCCAGGGTCACATCTGGGGTCCCAAGTCCCACCCCCTCCCCCAACCCTCCCCGCCCCCCCCCCCCCCCCAACCCTCCCCACCCCCCCAACCCACCCCCCCAACCCTCCCCCCAACCCTCCCCACCCCGCCCCCCACCCCCCACCCCGCCCCCCCCCCCACCCCCACCCCGCCCCCCTCCCACCTCCCCCCCCCCCCCAACCCCCCGAGTGCCAGGAGCAGGTGGACGGGGCCTTCCAAGCCTTGGCTCTGGCGGCCAAGCGCCTCAGGCCTCTCCGCCTCTGCCTCTACACCATCCAGCTGCCCAGCCTCGAAAATCCATCCCCCCCCGGTTGGAACGGGCCAAGGAGAAGGAGGGGAGGGAAGTATCTAAAGACCTTTCTTTTTCTTCTTCTGGTGGTGGTGTTCTACTAGTTTCCTCTCTTTGTTCTGTTGTGGTTTGAAGCGCCCTGTATCCAGAGTGCAGTCAGCTGACTGGGATGTTTTGTTTTTTGTTTTTGTTTTTTTCTTCCTGTGTGTGGCCAAGTTTGGACCCCTCAAAAGCACCGCTTTGTTTCAACTTCCCACATCCGTTCTTGTGTTTTGTTTGGTGCGTTTTGACCACAGCGCCACAAATGGGCAGAAGTAAGATGAGTTCCTTTTGGCGGCGTGAAAGGGGTTGTTGAGGGGTGGTGTTTTTGGGACTCAATTTCTGTGGCCATGGGAATCTCCGAAGTGAACTAGTAGTCACGGGGCGGGTCGGCCGTTGGATCGATCAACGGCAGCCTTAGAAAGTGGTTGCTTCAACAGAGTCCCTTGCAGGAGACTCCTAGAGGCCGGTTGAAAGATCACCTTTCCTAGATGGTTTAGAGGGTTCCCTTGTTTTGAATGCATCCTGTAAGGGAAAACTGTTGTCCCTTTTTTGCGCTCTCAGGGATTTGAGTGAGGCCGGCAAAAATGCCTTGAACCAACAGTCAATGGGCGAAACGGGCGCTCATGTGTGCATGTGTCAAAACAGGGGGACCCTCACTAAGTGGTTGGTGTCCTTTTGGTTTCCCTTTAAAGGAACCTTTAGCAAGAGGTCCCCAATTCTGAGAGACCCACTTGATGCAGAAGGGAATCCCAGAAAGATTTCCCATTTTAAGACCAACACCTTTTAGCTAGGAGGCCTGATTTTTTCTTGGCATTCCCTTTAAACCAACCTTTTCTCTGATCTGGCTCAAACCAATTGATGGGACTAGGAGGCCCGATTTTTGTTTGGCCTTCCCTTTAAACGATCCTTTTCTTCCTTTTCTCTGAACTGGCTCAACCCCTCCCCCAAAAGAAAAACAACAACAACAACAAATCAAAACTAGAAGACAGGTGGCCCAAAAGCATTTTCCATGACACGCAGCCTGATTTCTCCAACTATGCATTTCACCGTCTGCTCTGTGCATGCCTCTAAGCATCTCACTGTCTCTCCCTGCGCATGCATCCATGCACTTCATGCTTGCCTGATGCATGCCTCTATGCATTTCACTGTCTACTTTCCCTGTGCATGCCTCTATGCATTTCACCGTCTCTTTCCCTGTGCGTGCCTCTATGCATTTCACCGTCTCTTTCCCTGTGCATGCCTCTATGCAGTTCACTGTCTCTTTCCCTGTGCATACATCTATGCATTTCACTGTCTGCTTTCCCTGCGCATGCCTCTTTGCATTTCAGCCTACCTTCCCAGTGCATGCATCTATGCACTTCGCTCTGTACTTGCCCTACGCATGCCTTTGTGCATTTCACTGTCTGCTCTGTGCATGCCTCTATGCATTTCACTGTCTTCTTCCCTATGCACGCGTCTCGGCACTTCACTCTGCACTTGACCTACGCATGCCTGTATGCATTTCACTGTCTACTTTCCCTTCGCATGCCTCTATGCATTTCACTGTCTACCTTCTCGGTGCCTGCCTCTATGCATTTCACTGTCTACTTCCCCTGCGCAGTCATCTATGCACTTCATTCTGCGCTTGCCCTATGCATGCCTCTACGCAGTTCACTGTCTACTTTCCCTATCCACGCGTCTATGCATTTCACTGTCTACTTTCCCTGTGCATGCCTCTATGCATTTCACTCTGTACTTGACCTATACGTGCCTCTATGCATTTCACTGTCTACTTTCCATGTGCATGCCTCTACGCACTTCACTCTGGACTTGCCCTGTGCATGCCTCTATGCATTTCATTGTCTGCTCTGTGCATGCCTTTGTCCAAAAAACTGTTTACTTTCCCTGCGCACTTCACTCTGTACCTGCCCTATGCATGCCTCTACGCATGTCACCGTGCATTTGTTTCTGCATGCCTCTATGCATTTCACTGCCTACGTTCCGGCTTTGCAGCCGGACCTGCGGGGATGCTTGAAAGTTGCGACTTTGCAGGCGGAGCTGCGGGGACGCACTTCGCGTACTACTTTTGTACCTGAAAGTTGCGACTGTGCAGCTTGATCCCTGCAGACGGTCGCGCGCAGATCGCGAAGATTCACACGGGACCACAGCGAGAGCGATCTGACACGCACAATCCCCGCAGAGGATCGTACGCGAACCGCGAAGATTCGCACGGGGCCATTGCGAGAGCGATCCAACACGCACGATCCCCGCAGAGGGTCGCGCGCACAAGAATCGGAAAAAAAGCTCCGTTTTTGCGCATCGAGCGCGCCGATCCTTGAGAGGGTCTCATTTTTGCAGAGTGCGCTTGGTCCCACCGCGCCGCCGTAAGATGCTAGTTTTTAGAAAGCGTGCAAGTTTCCTCGTGCAAGTTAGGCTCGTGCGACAAGGAAAGTTAGGCTCGTGCGAGAAGGAAAGCAAGATCGCTCTGCATTTCACTGTGCACTTTCCCTACGCATGCTGCTATGCATTTCACTGTCTACTTCCCTGAGCATGCCTCTATGCATTTCACTGTGTACTTTCCCTATGCATACCTCTATGCATTTCACTGTCTACTTTCCCTGTGCATGCCTCTTATGCATTCACTGTCTACTTCCCCTGTGCATGCCTATGCATTTCACTCCCTACTTCCTACGCATGCCTCTATGCATTTCACTGTCTACTCTACTCTGTGCATACATCTATGCATTTCACCCTGTACTTGCCCTACGCATGCCTCTATGCATTTCGCTGCCTACTTTCCCTGAAAACATGCATCTATGCACCTAACTGCCTACTTCTCCTGTGCATGCCTCTACGCATTTCACTGTCTACTTTCCCTGCGCATGCATTTCTGCATTTCACTTGGTACTTGCCACTATGCATCTCATTGTCCACTTCCCTGAGCAGGCCTCTATGCATATTCACTGTGTACTTTCCCTATGCATACCTCTATGCATTTCACTGTCTACTTTCCCTGTGCATGCCTCTATGCATTTACTGTCTACTTCCCCTGCGCATGTCCATGCATTTCACTCCCTACTTGCCCTACGCATGCTGTCTACTCTGTGCGTGCATCTATGCATTTCACCCTGTACTTGCCCGATGCATGCCTCTATGCATTTCATTGCCTAGTTTCCCTGAAAATGGCTCTGTGCATCTCACTGCCTACTTCTCCTGTACGTGCCTCTATGCATTTCACAGCCTACTTTTCCTGAAAAATGCATCTATGCATCTCACTGTCCACTTCCTTGAGCATGCCTCTATGCACTTCACTGTGTACTTTCCCACGCATACCTCTATGCATTTTCACTGTCTACTTTCCCTGTGCATGCCTCTATGCATTTTCTGTCTACTTCCCCGGTGCATGCCTATGCATTTCACTCCCTACTTGCCCTACGCATGCCTCTATGCATTTCACTGTCTACTCTGTGCATGCATCTATGCATTTCACCCTGTACTTGCCCGATGCATGCCTCTATGCATTTCATTGCCTACTTTCCCTGAAAAATGGCTCTGTGCATCTCACTGCCTACTTCTCCTGTGCATGCCTCTATGCATTTCACTGTCTACTTTCCCTGCGCATGCATTTCTGCATTTCACTTGGTACTTGCCTCTATGCATCTCACTGTCCACTTCCCTGAGCAGGCCTCTATGCATATTCACTGTGTACTTTCCCTATGCATACCTCTATGCATTTCACTGTCTACTTTCCCTGTGCATGCCTCTATGCATTTACTGTCTACTTCCCCGGTGCATGCCTATGCATTTCACTCCCTACTTGCCCTACGCATGCCTCTATGCATTTCACTGTCTACTCTGTGCATGCATCTATGCATTTCACCCTGTACTTGCCCGATGCATGCCTCTATGCATTTCATTGCCTACTTTCCCTGAAAAATGGCTCTGTGCATCTCACTGCCTACTTCTCCTGTGCGTGCCTCTATGCATTTCACAGCCTACTTTTCCTGAAAAATGCATCTATGCATCTCACTGTCCACTTGCTTGAGCATGCCTCTATGCACTTCACTGTGTACTTTCCCTATGCATACCTCTATGCATTTTCACTGTCTACTTTCCCTGTGCATGCCTCGTATGCATTCATTGTCTACTTCCCCTGTGCATGCTTATGCATTTCACTGTCTGCTCTGTGCATACATCTATGCATTTCACTCTGTACTTGCCCTACGCATGCCTCTATGCATTTCATTGCCTACTTTCCCTGAACAATGCACCTCACTGCCTACTTCACCTGTGCATGCCTCTATGCATTTCACTGTTTACTTTCCCTGCGCATGCATTTATGCATTTCACTTGGTACTTGCCTCTATGCATCTCACTGTCCACTTCCCTGAGCATGCCTCTATGCATGTTCACTGTGTACTTTCCCTATGCAGTTAAGCTGTGCAGAACGCAACGACTTTACCGGAAGAACCCTTCGCAGTGCCTTCGGGAACAACAGCAACAACATGGCATCAGAAAGGTCTTTGATCTTGGTCTCAATCGTGGCCATCGCCTTGCTGGATCTCTTCTTCGACGAGGATCTGGAGTTGGCCGTCTACGTGGCGGAGGAGATTTTTCTTCGGCTCGAGCCGGGTCTGCGGGCTTCGTCAAATTGCGGAAACGGGGGGGTCCCCTTTTCTTCGGTTCAGAAAGTGCTTAAATCTTGCTGGTGGTCGATTGGCAGGGAATGAGTTGGAATGACATCCAACTGCTGGTGGTTTCCTTGAAGGGAATTCCCAGGTTCATTCCCTCATTCCCGACTGAGCACCAGCAAGTTTTGATTTTCCCTGTTGGTTGGAAAGACTTATCTCCAGATTTTTGAGATTTTCCCAGGTCCGAGCAACCCTAAGTTGTTGCAGCTGGCGAAGCAAATTCACTGTAGACTCCCAAGGGGAAACCCAGCTTCGAGACAACCAACCTTGGAAACTTGAGTAATAGGGCGGGGCTTTAGAAAGTTGACGACCCTGTTGGCAAGGCAAGAACCGCTGCCCTGGGGAAGCCAAACAGCTAACATGAATTCTCAACACACTCCAGGAACTGAGTCGACCCAGACACCCAGCAAAGAACTCCCTGCGAGTACTAATTCAAGTGCGCAAGCACCCATTTCCCTGTTGAGGTACGAAAAATGGGGCCTTGTGTAGGGGTGCCTGAAAGCAAATCCTTCTTGCGTGTCATGTTCATGTGCAGGTAACACAACGCCCCAAATAGCCAGAATAGGGGAGGGGGGTGGGGTTCCGTGAAGGTAAATTAAGCTGCCATGGGGAAACAAATTATTGATTTAGCCCCTTATTTTGCTTGCAAACGAACCTCGCCGCCAACGGCCCGTCCCAGGTGTCGGGGAAGAACCATCAGCAAAGAGCATTCATGTTGACCCCATGTTGATAAACCCGTGCTATGAAGAGGAGGTTCCCTCCCGAAGTCGTGAAACTCCGGCAGGAACTGCATTTGACTAAGCTTTCCTGCCGTTATCTCAGGTAATCCGTCAGGTTGCTGGCTTGGATTGGTGGGAACTGGGGATTTGTAGAAGGAAAGCAACCCCTTTGGATCGAGACTCGATCAATGTTTTGAGACAATCGACGAGTTGACCCGTTCGACTTCAACTCGAAACCACATGACTCGCTGCTGCTCACTAATGACGTGGGGTGATTTCTGCGGGGCTCTAAGAGAACTCGCTGTTGGAAAGCCATTGCCACTTGCCACGGTGCCCTTTTACAGGCGAGTATTTAGAAATGGATGCAAGATTCTATGTTCATGTCTCAAATGTGGGACCCCCTGCTATCTGCCTGGTGTCCTCCTTTCCCTTTCAGACCATCCAAAATCGGAACTGCAAGGGGATTCCCTTGAGGGAGACCATGTTGCGCCATAGGGGATGGCCAGCAAGATGACATTCTACAACTTGCAACGCTCCAACCCTTTAAGGGGTTCTGGTCGAATGTCCCTTTTCGCGGGTCACTGAACCTCTAACTCGCAACGGGGGGCAATTTTGACCCTTGTTGACCCCGGGTCTAAGTAGAACACGTCTTAGTTGGGTGCCCAGTGGTGGAGCCACGCTACAAAATCAACCAGGTGTTCTTCTCAGATCCGTTTTTTGGAAGGTTTCACTGTTCATGAAAACCAGTTGGACACCCCCAGAATAACTTCCATGTGTTGAAACAAATATTGTTTATTCCCTGTAGGCTTTTTTGGGCGAACAAGCAACTTGGAGGCCCAAAAATGACCCATCACCTATGGTTTCCTTGAAGAGGACCCCCAAAACCGGTACTTAAAGGGGCAGGGCACTTTGTAAGTGGTTAGTAAGCCTGGTTATAACCCACTTCGGAGACTTATAACCATGTAAGTGGGTTATAATGGTTATTTCCCACTTGCTAAGTACCTCTGCCCCATCCATGTTGAACCCGGATTAATCAACCCCTGCTTATTGATATGGAGGTGGGTGCCCCTCCAGGACGCCCCCCCAATATAAATAGACAGCGGTTTGTTAATCCGGGGCCAACATTACTATGGATGGACTAAACCCAAGCGTTCGCACCACGCAACCCTGGTTTCTGATTCGCTTCCCCTGTAACCAACAAACCTTGTGGTTTCAACCATGGGTTCCCTCTGGTGCCAACATGGGTGTGGCTCAAAATTAAAGATCTGGGGCAAACCGCCTTGGGTCCTTCATGTTTTTGACCCCGTACCCCCAGTGAACATTTCAATCCCCACTACAATAGGTTCTAAAATGGGTGGTGAATTCACCTACCAACCAAAATGGGATCCCAAAACGGCTTTGACCACCACAACCATATCAATGAACCCCCAGTTTATTGACAGGGGGGTGGCTTTTGGCCCCTCCAAAAGTGGTCTGATGTCCCCACATTCCACCCACGGATACGGGACCCATATGCTACCACCTTCTTGGGAGCCCGCAAGCCGCCAGCCGATGCGCGGCGAGGCGGTGGTTGTGGCAGGGGGCACCTTCGGCGTTCTGCTGGGCATGGCTCTGCTGCATCGGCGCTTGGCCAGTGCCTCGCAGACCTGCGAGCAGAGGCTGCAGGAGGCGTGGAGGGGTGGGGTGGGTGGGGTGGGGAGGCGGGTGGGGTGGGGGGACTTGGTAAGTAGGGGCGCCAGGATTTGTTTATTCGCGTGATCTCCCTTGTGTAGGGCCTAAGCTACTGGTGTTGAGTCCCTAACAGCACTTTTGAGGGACAGGCCCGGATGCGCATTGTTTCGAGCAGGCAGTCGGAAGAACATGTGTCGGGGATCTGTTGAGTTTGGTCCTGGGCTTCCTTGTTTACCTTTGAGCCAAAATGGGTGGCTCGTCTTCCTTTAGGAGACTCCCAACATGGCTTCGGTTTTCCTTTTGGCGTGCCTTTAAAGCGCACAAAAAGGGGTGCCCTCAAAAGAAGCCACACCCAAATGGCGGTGGACGCCTAGAGAGATAGGTTGATGGATCTCTTCAAAGCGATATGTCCTTGACGACAGGTGATGCAAAGCGCATAGCTTTTGATTAAGACGTGCATGGTGCCATGGTGCAGCGGTGGCCACTTGATCTCAGCGCTTAGAACCCAGCTGTGAGAGCAACGCCAGACAGTTGATGGCTGCCAGAGAGAGGAGAGCTTCATTCGAGGCATGCCCAGGACTCCCCTTTTTCTCTTTGAAAAACAGGGGAAAGCCTCAGAATGGGACGGTTGCAGCTCCATCTTCAAGAAAACGCCCAACCAGAAGGGGTTAACCTAGAGCATCAACCAGGACGACCCTTGATGGAACCCCCCTAGCAAATTTACCCTCGAAGGCAACTAGGCAAAATTCGGGAATTTTCTAGAGGAAGGCCTAGGCTCCCTTCCGTAGACTTGCAAGCCCTTGACCATCACCATTGCAGACGAGTATGCAGACTCCCCACCTCCATATCTTAGGCAGAGATGCAAGGGGCCTCGAATGACGTATGTATCAAAACAGGTGTGAAACACATAGTGAATGCATCCAATGGGAAACGTTGCATTAGAGTATCCTGCCCTTTTGAACGATTCGGGATCAAACAAGTCCTGCCCGTTGAAGTGCAGGATGCCCAACATGCCAAGCTTGCCCGCCTTGGCAAGCAACTTGGCATGAGTTTTTGTTTTCAGCCAACGGAAGCGAAACAGAGAACAGTGACAACTGCACAGCAACTGACACAACTCATGGTACCATCAGGGCCTCAATACTTGATATGGGCTTTGAAGCCTTTTTTTTTCTCATGAGGAGTGAATTCGTCATTAGTCCAGCCTCCAACCACTCCGGTAGTCTATTGTAAGTTTAGGTGGGGATGCATGAATACCAACCCGACTTCGGGGGGGGATTCTGTCCGCTCGCCCGTTCACGCGACGGCCTTTCTTTTCCAAGGGTCAGCTTCTCCCTACATGGTTTGGATTGGCGGGGTTTGGGGTCTGAACGCTTACATTCGCAGTAACACATGTCAAATGTAAAGCTACAACCGGAGCACCTCCAAACCACCAATCCAAACCCAAGCCTCACCAGATCTGAAGCTAACCAAACCAATGCCACAACTCCTTAGACTGTGACGATTTGGGAAATCAAGTTGGGTTTTCCACTAAACTCCCAAAAAGCTGAACTTTTTGCAGGGGGGTCATCAGCAACCAAGACTCCAAACTAAGCGAAAGCTGAAGCCGGAAGGTGCTCAATGAGAAGAGCGCCCAGCTGCGCTTGCTGACGCTGAAGTCCGGGACACAGTCAAACCCCGGGGACGGACAGAGGACGGTCCCAGCCGGAAATGGGCGCAGACTGGGCTGTTCAAAGTTTTCTGTGTAGTGTAGTGGCTTCCCTATCGGGATTATGGAGATTCGGATTGGCCAACCCTCCATTTTGAACAGCCCAGGCAGATCTCCGCCTTCTTACCCTCCCACCAATTCACATTGAACCTGACGTCAGGGAATCGGTGCTGGTTTGGACCATCTTCCTTTTACAGGGGCCGGCCCCCGAACCTCAGGTTCCATGTGAAAGGGGGGGGGCGGTGCGGGGCCTGGACCATTTGAATACCAATCGGTTTTGGTTGTGGCTCGGGTTCATGTCCTCCAACGGCATCCCAAGCACCGCGGGCTTGCAGAGCTGTGTTTGTAAATCTAAAATGGTTGGTTTCCGCTTTCGGTTTCCCTTGAAATACCGGCCAACGGGGGCCTTAAGAAACACTCAGATAGACTTCAAGGCTGGGATCGGTGTCTTTGGGGGGGAGTTGGGGTAGGAGCAGTTTGCCCCGCTTGGGCCGAATGGGGTAGCGTAAGGCGAATCGCTTGGACGAGGCCTGGAGGGGCGTTGTCTCCAGATCGTGTTGGGTAAGCCACTGGTTCGTAGCTTCCCCAAAAAATGAAAGCAAAACGCGATGGATGCTTTTCAACACTCCAGACCCCTCTGTTGCACCCGGTTGAGTTTCCTTCCATTTGGCAGGGGTGATCTTTCAAGGGGACATGTGGTTTTGTCTCGCAACAGAACCACATAGCACGCCATGAGTCTAGGGGTAACATTCTCATTCTTCTAGGGATCCTTCTTTCTAGAAAACCACCAAAAACCCCGGTTGAAATGGCGATCGGTTTTGGAAAAGAAGGATGGCTGAAAAGAATTGGAATCAAGCTCTAGAATGAGGGTCTGCTTGGCACCATGGTGAGTTGACGGGGAACGGACTCAAAGAAAAGGCTCCGACTTCGACACGCCAGGCTGGCTTTGCAAGGGTGAAACAAACATGCAGGCCTAGTCGCCTCAGGGAAATCAAGAGACTGCTTAAGCAAGAGGCTGCTTAAACAAGTTTGCCTCAGCTGTCCAAAACGGAGCGACCCTTTCACTTTCGGTTTTCCAATTTTGGTCCGTTAGTCAAGGTTTCAACAGGGTGATCTTTGAGTTTCTTCGGTTGTTTGGGGTAACTTAGTTACGCAGGCGGTTGACCCGTGGTGAAAAGATACGTGCGCGAAAGAGGGCCAAGATGTGTGAACATGCGAAGGATCCCAGCGTTGTGTGATGTCGTGGCTAGAGCTTGGTTCGTGTTTATCAGTTCGTGTCCGGATTTGCCTGCTTCATTTGTTCCGGGGGAGCGGAGAGGTGGGGGAGGCGGGACTTGTGTTGTCCAAAAGTTTTCCGTTTGGTTATCTCCATTCCATCCCAAGTTGCTTTTTGCCTGGAACATCTCTGCGATAAGCCAAAGCATGTTGACCATGAGCAAGGTTCAAAGATGGTTTGACCTGGGTTGCTGTCCCCAAATGAGATCCATAGCCTCTTTTGGTCAATCTTGAAACCTCCCACTGGATGGTTTTTGGTGGGCGAGGTGTTCTCTTTTCACCCTGGCCGAGATCAGATCGGCCTGGGCTAAGGCTCAACAGCCGGCCGCAAGCTTGGTCTGTGCCCAAGTTCGGCATGACCGTTCAGCCGGACATGCAGGCAGGGCGGCAAATGACTTGTGAAGATGTAAATGGGTATGGGTCAAAATTAAACCACCAGGGTACCACAGGTTTTGGCCCATGTTTGCACTTGCCAGGGTTCCAGTTGGGGTACCTATTTTTGACCCACAGCCAAATCTGAGCAAAGTATAGCGGCGTGACTAGGAGGGTGAGAGGCGTCATTCATGAACATGAAGGTTTCTTTCATAGGGATTCCTGATGTGTCGCTGAATTGTGATAGTTTCTTCCAGTGTAAATGGGTCTTAGGACGTAATTAAGAAGAAGGACTTGGATCACAAGGAAATTCACAATAACTAGTTGTGGGACTCTGTCCTCCTGTGTTCAGACCGGCTAAAAACAGTTTGGTGTTCTTGTCCACGGTTTTCCTTCCATGAGACACGGGGGTGGTCCGTGCCGCGAGGAGTTCCTGGCCTTGACCAAGGCCAGGGTGGAAGATTTGGGAACCTCGGTGGGCACAGAGAGCACGCAGACCGACGACGCCCTGGAACGCGACGACGCCAAGGAAGGCGACACCAAGGAAGGCGACGCCAAGGATGGCGACGCCAAGGACGGTGACGCCGAGGAAGGCGACGCCGAGGAAGGCGCTGAGGAGTCCCACGAGTCCAAGAAGCGCACGGTGGTGGGTGTTTGAGTCGCAGGGGGAGGAGCGGTGCACAAATCGGGCGGGCGACTGGTAGATATTACCGGTTCGACCTTGCCCGTTGTCGAGTTGAGAGCAATCTTGGAGGGGCCCGACTGGCTGGGCTGGAGTGAATTCGGGTTCATTCCCCCCGTAGGTTTGCAAAAGGGGTCGCCTAGTTTTGCCTTGGAATGGAAACCTCGCCGGTTGCTGACTGGCATTTGGCGAGCTTTCAGGCGCCCGGCGCTCGACAAACAAGTCAGGTGCCAGCGCTTTCTAAGACGTCCCAAGGAGCGCACTACTTGCGCTCTAGTTCTCACTCCTGAGTTCATGGGCTGCATACTTTTTGGGAAGACCATTTCAGTTGTAAACAGCAAGTTCTGGCTTTTTCCGATCCACTCAAGAAGTGAGAGTTTGTTAGTGGCACGGATGCTTGGACCTGTTGGGCTGCCCACCAGGTGCTTTTAGGATGATATGAACTTGAATTTCTTGCAACCCCCGGGTAATTGCCCCAAAAGCCCGAGTCGCCTCAGGCGTGGGCCAAATTTTGGATGCAACCCGGAGGGCTATGCGAACCCCCGAAAGCCGGACCGAATGACTACTAGGGTCCGTTGCATTGCTCCCAAGTTGATATTGGATACATCTGGTCGCGCTGGGACTAACAAGGCCGCTTGATTCCCAATTGGTGAGGTCTGAGCATCCATGTTGCCCCGTTTTATTCGCCGCGTCGCGGGGCTGGCCCAAGCTGTGTCCTTTTCCATGCTCGTCACGCCTTTCCGAGCAACGCCTCCGACCTGTGTGTTTTTCAGGTGTTCTTCGCGCGAGAGGGAAAAAAAAAAGGGCCCAGCCGGGCCGCTCGCCGGGGTGCACACGGTGAGGTCGGACAGGCCGTGAGCCTGGATCCGAGCTCCTGCGGATCCGGAGGATCTGCTGACCCCGCGACCCCGCGGCCCGCGGCGCACGGCTGACGGCGATATGTCAGCGCGCCGACGCATGCATGGCTCAAGGGTTGGGGGTGTAAGGCCCACGCTAAAAAGTCAGGAGGGGGTCTGAAGGCCCAAGTTTCAAAGAAAAGGGCACATAAATTGAAACATGCCGCGGCCAACGCCCAACCCGATCTTTAGTTTCAGCTTTTTTTTTCCTTCTCGAGCGGGTGGCGCGGATCTGGAGGATCTGCGGCCGCGCTCTGCGGCTCGCCCTTTTTTTTTGGGCTCAAGAACCACTCGCGAAGGGAAAAAGCATGGAGCGCGGCAAGTTGAGGCTCCCCTCCCCAATCTGTGGCTAACCCCCCCCCCCCGTTTTCGACCATCGGAACCGCCCTGTGCATTTCCGGGACCCTTCAAGGAGCTACCTTGACATGGGGATGACCATGTCGGAGCCACGAAAAAGATCGCATTTCACGAACCCGGCTCCCTTGGCTAAATTTTTGGGCCCTCAAAATGGGGTCTTTCAACGGCCCCTGAGAAATCGGTCCGGGTCCTTCATTCGAGGGTTTGGGGGCCTGCATGGAAGTCATGCGGTTTAGGTAAATGGGAAAAGTCATCATGGCCATTTGTGGCAAAAGCAGGTTCCGGAAGCCTCTCCGGAAGCCTATCCTGAACCCCTCCAATGGTCTCTGGAGGAGCCTATCTGGGCCTATTGACCCCATAGCTTTCAGCTGTTGGGGAAAATGGAATGAAGGGCTATTTGTTTTCCGGTTTTCTTTGGGATTTTCCCTGGATTTCATCTTATCTGGCTTGTGAGATTCTTGGCTTTTTGGCCTTTGGCTTCTTGGAGTGTGGGCCTTTTTGGCTCTTGGCTTTTTGGTTTCTCGGCTTTGGGCTTTTTGGCTTTTTTGCTTTTTTGCTTTTTGGCTTTTTTGCTTTTTGTTTTTTTGGCTTTTGGCTTTTGGCTTTACTTTGTTGTGGCTTCGGCTTTCCGTATCCTCAGCATCACCAGTAACACCCCAGCATCACCGGCTTTTGGCTTTATTGATTTTTGGTTGGTGGCTTCTTACCTCCCAGGTTTCTGTAGATGGGGGGGGGGGGGCTGCGCACCCCCAACCCCCCCCGCTTCGTTATAGGGCTGTGGTTTGGCTTTGTGATGACCTCAAAAGGCAAGCCACAAACCCTGAACCCACCCTAATGAATCCAACGCCCGCCCTAAACCCACGTTTTGGTCTAAACTAACCCACACTAAACCAGTAGTAGACTCTCCCTAAACCAACTCTAAGCCTACCCTAAAACAACCCCAACCCCCTAACCCTAAGCCAATCTTTGAACCCACCATACCCCACCCGAAACAAACCCTAAGTCCGCACTAAACAAGCCTTAGACCACTCCCCTAAGCAAACCCTTACCAACCCTAACCCCCCACTAAACCCACCCTAAAGCAACCCCAAAACCAATGCCCCCCTAAACCAGCACTAAACCCAAACTACACCCGCTCTAAACCCACACTGCACCAACCCTGAACAAACCCAAAGCAAATTCGACACCAACCGCAGTAAACCATCCCTAAGCCACCCTGAACCTACCCCAACCCACCCGAAGCCCACCTAAACCCAACCACAGCCTAAACCAACTCTAAACCCACCCTAAACCAGGCCCTAATCCCACCAAACCAACCCCAAGAAGCCCACCATAAACCAGCATTGAACCATCCCAGTACCTAAAGCGCAGCCGCCCCAAACTTTCCCTAACGAAGCCTGGAACCCACCCTGAACCAACCCTAGTCAACCTTGAGCCCACCCTAAACCCAGCCTAACAAAGCCAACTCGTGATGCTGAGGATGTTGAAAAGGATGCTGCAGAGTTAAAACTATGCCGGGGATGTTGGCAGCGCTGGTGCAAAACGAGTCAAGCCAAGCAGAACGAAGGGAGAGCGCACCTGCCAGTTCCAACACAGAAAATCCAGGAAAAAAGCCAAAAGCAAAACAGGCAAACATCCTAGCAAAATCCAGACCCAAATGGAATCAGAGACGGAGCTGTTTGTGAATGAGAAGGCAATTTTGGTGTCAGCCTTCTTGAGGATACCCTTTTTGCTTTTGCGTGATCAAAGGGGTCGCGACCAAGGAGCCATGCCCATTGACCACTCCAAAAAATCAAGTGGTGTCAAGTGACTTCGAAAGCTTCGTGCATCCCTCCGGGAATGACCCCAGAAAGACCGCCAGCTAGCAGCTACATCAAAAGCCCGCACAAAACATCACAAAACGACCAGGTTTTGGATGTACAAGGCATTGGTCCCTTCATTCAGTTTTGAGGATGTACCCTCCCTCCCGCTAACATAGCTGTGGGAGGATGGCTGGAAGATCAAAAAGCCTCCGGCCCCTGCCCAAACTCGCGTGCAGGGAATGAGAGATGAAATGAACCCAGGCTTTGGTCCCCCTTCAGGGGCAAAAACAGGGCGAAAACCACAATTAAACAAACTCCAGTTGGATTCGGTGAACGAGGTCCCCTTGCAAAAAATATATGAAAGAAAACTCTGGTTGGATGCGGGTTGGGTATGGGTCATGCCATTTCTCTATTTCTCCATGTCTCGCAGCGATGGCACTCGCCAGGCTACGGGAGGCCGGCCATCCGGGTGAAGGATGTGGAGCGGCGAAAGGGAAAGCCCGATGGTTGAACCAAACGGAAGCCACCGTTTGAAGGACCTGGAGTTTTGGAGTCCCTAACTTCCATTTGCTGAAGCAAATGCATATATATATAATATGTGTGTGTAGCTATATACATAGATAGATGTACATAATACATATATCTATGTTTGTATATGTTAGTATAGATATACATATATATATATATACATGGATTGTTTATTTTCCCTTGTTGGTTTTCCAAGGGGATCGGTTTCACTGCTGGGCATATTTTCTCATTTTCCCCAGGCAGCGAAAAAGCAAGTCTTCAAGTGGAAGTTGAGAGGTTTCGTTCAATCTGGTCTCGAGTCGGGCGTGTGCTTATCGACCGGATCTGTCCTTTTGGTTTCCCCCTGTTCAACCTTTTTTTGTCATGGCCCCAAAGGAGATATCAAGCACTATTTTTGGTTTTCGTGCGGTTGCGTCCTACCTGTGCTAGGGCTCGAGCGGAGCTGCGAGGGCTTCAAGGCGGGTGCAAACAGCTGGGTGAAAAGAAAAGACCGATGCTTGAAAAGCGTGGAATTGGAATCAACCCCCGTGGAAAAATGGGTCAACAGATTAGATCACTTCGTGCACATATGAACTTAGCATACGTTAAGTAATCCGCGGATCAATTGTCAGTCTTCCGTAGTTTTTAGGGGACCCCCCCAAAACGGTGAATTCCACCTAAAAGCATTCTGTTAATCCCACCCATTTGAAGCCATACCGTGGGTGGACAAAGGCCATGTCGCACCAGCTGGTGGAAAGATTGTCCCAGTATTCGTAGTGGTTCATCCATCCCAACTGGTGCCTAGAGAGAGGGGCAGAGAGAGAGAGAGAGAGTTCCAATTCCCCGGTGCAAAACTCCCTTATCAGCAACGCATTTTTGTTTCCCGTGATCTTAAGGGGCTCTAACCCCCTAAGTGCCCTTCCTCGATCCTTCATTTTGGAGGGTGCACAGAATGGACCCCTTGAGTTGGTTTTAACACTTCAAAGCTGATGGAAGAGAATGTGGAACCCTCCATAGGGTCCGATTCGTCAGATTCGTCAGATTCGTCAGGGAACCTGTGGCAATCATAAGGGTAGAGTTCTCGCAAAGTGGTTGCAATGTGTGTCTTGGCGAGCATACGGTGGATGAGGCGAGACTAGACCGAGCCAGGAAACAAATGACCATGTCAGGAAACATGAGTCAAGAAATGGACTGGCACGAGTCAAGAAACAACTGGACCCCCTTACCCGAGGCGAGACTAGACCGAGCCAGGAAACAAATGACCATGTCAGGAAACATGAGTCAAGAAATTGACTGGGGCGAGTCAAGAAACAACTGGAGGCAAGTCAAGAATAAAAGTGATAACTATTTAGAACAGCAAACGTGAGTCAGGAAACGCGGAAACGTGAGTCAGGAAACGCGATTCAGAATGATG